TTTATTTAATAGTTCAGGTACTTAAATATATATTTTTAACATTTATCTCCTGAGTTTAGTGTCACTTGAATCATATCTGTTATGTCAACTAGAAGCGATCATCGCTGTGTGCTCCTAGCTGTAAAGTCTCTGCTGTCAACTGATGATCAGGAACCAATCATCTCAGTTCCCGATCATGTGATCTCTATATGGCAGTTATGGCAGAGTGATCACATTACTTTGTTTGTAAACAGCTGTCAGTGTCAGGTGACGGTTTGTTTACATGATGTGCGCAGAAGAACAAAAAAAAGTATCTCTAAAAGGAGACAACACAGGGGGGAATTTATCAAAACTGCATGGAGCAGACAAAACCTGGGGCAACCAATCAGCTTCTCTCTTTCATTTTCAAACCTTAACTGAACAAACTGAAGAGAGAAGCCGATTGGTTGCCAGATTTTGTCTGCTGACCTTTCGATAAATTCCCCTCACAGTGTTTAAGGGCTTGTTCACACCATCTCTAGACCAGATCTGGGAGCGTCTCTGCCAATGTGTGTATCGCTGTCGTGATGCGCTCTGGTTTGGGTTTTCTTTTTCAATCGGTTTTGCTTAGGTTTTAAGCACATTCCAGTGTATTTACATGCGCTTACATGTGCTTTTGTGCGCTCCTAGTGTGCGGAAAAAATGCAGCATGCTGTACTCCTTTTAAAAGCTCTGGACCTGAACGCATTGGTATGCACTGGCCTCATTTAAAACCATTGGAATTACTGTGCATGTGTCTTTGGTTCAGATAAAAAAAACATTCTGGTCTGGAGATGATGTGAAGAGGCCCTAACAAAAAATACAGTTTACTAGTTAAATAAACAATAAATAAATGTTACATTTTTTGCCCACTTTTTCCCATTTATCAGCCTAATTTTAAATCTGAGAAGGGTATTTAATAAAACATAAACACAAACATAAACTCAAAAAGTCAAAAGTATTTCGATATGCATATTAACCCCCCTAGAATTACTGTCATTGCCTTCTAAATTTGCTCTGGGCTTCGATGAGCTGTGGTCACGAAAGGGTTAAGCAGCATCACCTTGACATGGCTCTTGGCGGTTTTCCCGCATTTCCTCTCTGTTCCAGTGTGTTGCAATATTCCTCTATGTATGGGCACCTCTGGAATATAACGCAGCTCTTCTAGATGGAGTGTCTACAGAAAATATTATCCTTTCCCTAGGACACAGCAGGGCCATCTTTAATATTAATTAGGCCCTGGGCAAGATTTTCTTGATGGGCCCCCACAACCCTCCATCACCTGGAAACCGCTACTAGCCGGTCTCACCACCAGCAGTGCCACTTTGCTTGTTCTGTCTGCTGATCGGGCAAAAGGGATAGCAGCTGTGGGCCCCTGTAAATTATGGGGCCCAGGGCAGTTGCCCCTTTTGCCCTGCGGTAAAGACAGCCCTGGGACACAGTGACGTGCCATGCCTTCTGTGCTGGGTGAGGCATCCCCCAGTCCACCATAGCTCTGCCCCGTCCCACCGAAGCTCTGCCCAGTCCAGCAGACGCTCCGCCCCAATCTCGGTAACAAAGCTGTGTGGGGAGGAGAAACTGGTGAGGCATCGAGATCGATGTCCTCACTGTATTTTTTTTTTTATTGGACAGCTTGGACCAATGGCGCTTTGCCATTGGTCCAAACCATCCACAGAGCTCACGCCTCTAACACAGAGTAGAGGCTGTGACAGCTCTTGCATCACTAGTTTAGGTTACACAAGCAGTGGGGAAGCCCGCTGCTTGGTGTACGATGAATAAGAATGAAGTCATTAAAAAGTGTTTCAAAGATTCTTCTCACATTAACGGAAACTTTGGCAGATTGATTGCCGGCAATTCCGACAACAGATGGACAGAACGCCGAGCAGAGTAATTATTCTCTAATTATGATGAAGTGGTCCCCGGCTCTCCCCATCTTCTCCTCCGTCTCCTCCTGTGGACTGGAGACAACATGGCGGCCCCAGTGGAACACCAGCACACAATGTCAATCCTTTTAGTGTCCGATCACAACTTTTGTTTTTCATTTCGGATTGAGTGGGGAAGGATGAGAACACCTGTCTGGATTCAAGTGCTATGCGGGGCGCTAAAAAAATCTCTATAATGGCTCCCAAGGCAGCAATAAAACCCAACAGTCCTAATCCTTCCTCACTCCACCCAAAATGAAAGAAAAAAGTTTTGTCACACCTAAAAATGGAACTCCAATCAGACAGCTAAATACACCATACACAGTCCGTGTACCCATCGCACTCAGAGACGCTGCTCCAAAGATGGAAGGTGGATGCAGCAGGCGTCAGCGGGTGGCTTCCGACAAAATATAAGGAAAGGATGGACACCGGCACTCCGAAGCAAGTTCAGTACGTGTTTATTAACATACTAGTTGCAAGTAGAAGACTCTAAACAACGTCTCGGGGTCTCACAGGATCCCCTTCATCAGGCAAACAAGTGACTTGTTTGCCACGTACTGAACTTGCTTTGGAGTGCCGGTGTCCATCCTTTTCAGCTAAATACACCATACACATACTGTATGTGATCGGTTTTACCGATCAGCCAGTCCTGTAATTCACATACTTCGTGGAGGTATCACTATCATTCACTAATGTGATTTTGCAGCTTCCTGCATGGCCTGCCTGATCACTGGCCAATGAATCAGCAGCATTATGATCCTAATCAATAGGTCAATGGGCCGGGAACTTGCATGGGAAATTGTGGTGTTGCCTTCTAAGTGTGCGGTGTGTCAGGGTTATATGGATCACAAGTCTGGCTGAACAGAATTACAGGTCTGTTTGGCAGGTGACAAGGATCTCATATCTGTATTCCACCCATGTGTTCCACCGTCATCGTATCTCTTAGGCTGGCTCCACTCCCTTGAACAAGCATTGACACTTGCTACAGATTACAGCATTTAGTGTTGTGGTGCATTGCCATTTATTCTGAGCTGCAACCTGAACCACATATACAAAGCCAACAAACATATCATTCACCTGCTGATTTATAATAGTCCTGGCCTCTGCATACACATACATGTACAGTCTCTCTTTGCATTCCTCATATACATAGATCCTGGCCTTTACATATACATACATGTACATCCATTATACTGTATACTTACATGTAACTTCTCCATATATACCCATGTACCTCCTATATATACTTGACCTCTTCATATACCTTCTTCGTACAAATACATGTAGCTCCAACTTATACATACATGTACCTTCTCCATATACTATATATATATTCTGCATGTACCTCCTACATATACATGGATCCTGGTCTCTGCATATACATACATGTATAGTCTTCATATACAAGCATTTACTTTCTCCATATACACACATGTACGTCCTAAATACATATAGATCCTGGCCTTTGCATATACATACATGTACCTTCTTTATATGCATAGGTTTACCTTCTCCATATAACCCCTCCATATACATGATGTGCCTTCTCCATGTGGCCTTCTTTGTCTAGTAAGTTCTTGTGTCCTTATTGCAGTGATGGAGTTGCATAGGACATCTTCTCTGCAGTGGACCAGAAGACACATTTCCTATAAGAATTCTTCATACAAGCAGACTGTCCATCGTCCTCCATCCATCCGGAAGCCATCACAGCTCCCAGACTTGCCATGTGAAGACAAGAACAACCTTTATGTAACTGGAATCTCCGTCACCAAGCTGGGCAGCCCTGCCATGGCAGATGATGGCAGGGATGGTCTTCTTACTGTACAATATGCCCGCAGCAGTCATGTTACTTCAGCGCAAACCTCTGGCTGGAGACTAAAATGCATTCCAGTACAAAGCGCCCCAGCTATCCACTCTTACAGCAGGTCATTGAAAGTAAACCTCAATGGTCATCCACTCGACAGCTCCAACCCGCAGGCCAAAGAGTTTGTCCAAAGCTGCGGAAGAATGTTGCCACCAGTCGTGTCCCAGTCTTGGTGCAATTATCGATTTGCATCTTACACTTTTTTATCCAGAAACCCCCAACAGTTAGAAGATCCATTCTATAGGACTGATGGACACGGGTCTACTGGTGCCCACCACTGTCACTGTGTGCAAAGAAAAGAGATTTCCTCCGGTTATAAACAACCGTCTCATTATCAGTCAAAAAACAAAAAGAAGCCTCTTTTTGCAGATGCAGCCACACAGACCTACAAACCAGATATCGTCCACGCACAGGAAAAGGAGGATTCAAATCTGATATATGAAAAGCCAGATGGCCTGCATCTTAGAGAGGTTTCTACAGATCTTCAGCCTGAGAAAGAGCACCTGGAAACAAAGCATCTGAATAGGAACCTTCTTCTGCCAGATCCACAATTAGATCCAGAATTATTCAATTTCCTCAGATCCTCCGAGAGAAAAACAAACTCTTCCAGGCCTCTCAGTTCACCTCCAATTGTTGTAATGTCTCCTGAGCCTTGGACAAGCCAAACACCGCCAGACGAGACCCAACTATCCATCATTGTTCCTACCCTACCAAGAGGGACAAGTATGCCACAGAAATAATCAAGGCTACCAGCAAACGTAGACTCTACAGGACTGAATATCCGTATTAGTTGTACTATTTTACATTATCATCAGTAATGACATTGACATTTACAGTACAATAGTTTACAAGTTCAGTGTTTGTCATTTGCTCTGTCACATCTGGAATATATTTGCCTATTGTCACTGGAACATAAGCCAACTTTCACTTTGAGGACCGAAATTGTTGACTTGTTATTCTGGATTCCAGGGCTTTCAGCCTCATCCTTGGCTTTACTTCCTAGTGAGCCACTGACCTGGAACAAGTATATAAGACAGGAGCTCAAGCTTCATAGACACAACTGGCTGCATGCTTTTTCCAGGGTTCCTCACTAGGTAACATGACAGCCCTGAGACCTGTACCTTTAAAAAAAAGGCAGCTGTCCTCACAAGTTCCTTTTAGGTAAATGATCTGCCTTAGCAAAAAATAATCTAGAGTTATACACAATGCGTATGCGCTTAAAACATATGCGTTTTAAAGTTCACTGTGATTGGCTCTACCAAAGTGTCCAAAAACCTGTTGGGGTAAAGATAGAGATGGCGGTGGTAGTACTGGTAGTGATGAGCTGGTGGTGCTGTTAGAGGAGATGTTGCTGAGGCTGTTGAAAATGCTGGAAATATTCTGATGGTGCTGGTGGTGGCATAGTTGGTAGTGGTGAAGATTAGCTGATGGTGGCTGATGTGTTAATGTAGAGATGATGGTGGATGTGGAAGTGGTGAAAACAGTGCCAAGGAAATAATAGAAATGATGGGGATTAGCTAATGGTGCTAGTGCTGGCATAGAGATGGTGATAATGGTACTACAGATTACCTGTTGGGGATGGTGGTGGGAAAAATGGTGATGATGCAACTTCACCATGACAAAAAAAACCCATAAAACATAATACAGACGATAAAGGAAAAGTAAGAGCCTGTAGGTCAGTAGGCCCGAGGATAGCGTCAACAGGACAGTTAGCAGGGTATAAGCGGTATCAAAGTATCAACATTACTGATAGCGCAGGGGACACAATGTTCTGTAAAAATCTTGCAGGTTGGTACAGGTCCTGGGCTGCCTGCACCGCCCTCTCCCAACATCACCCATCTTGGGGCGCCTGTGCAATTTTTTGATGCCCCCAAACATATGTACGAAATATCAGAGACCAGCTGGTAATGACACAATAAGACTTTCATTCCCCCCGTGTGCGCCACTCCTGGTATTCCTTCTCTGAGATGATGATGGTGGTGGCAGTATGTTAGTCTACATAGAGTTTCTTTTTTTCTAAGCCACTAATGTTTCCATACTGTAGGTCCACTGCTGGGTAATTCCGCTGCCACCTTTACCTGGGATGGGTCACTTACAATGTTGTCTCCACAGGAGCGAATGTAGGTGGCCAATCTAGGAAAGTCTCATAATAGCGGAGTGACTTTTCATGAAGTAGCAACTTCTCCTCAAAGAGACTTGGATGCAATCCGGGATCATTTGTTTCCTCCAGATGGTCATACCTGAGGGGCAAGAGAAGCCGTCATGAAGGAAGGGTAAGGAGAGATCCTGTCACGTGGGATCTGTGCGACTTGCAGATTGTATGATACATGATATGTCTGAAGACTTAGAATAAATGATAATTGAATGAAAGGCAATGCTTGGGGAACATCTGAACATATTGTGAATGTTTCTGACCATGTGGGGCTTTGAACTTGTACAATATCAGATAATGCCAAGGTTTATTGTGTTTATCTGCATCTCTTGTAGAATGACCTGATCTTTGTACTTCTGACACGCTATACAGAGATACGAGCCAAAGTCTTACAACAATTTCTGCTCGCTCCTACTATGATGTTTTCTGCTTTGTCAGCAGAACTTTACGTTTACAACAGCCATAAATCTATCATAAGTGTTTGACTGATATGCCATTGAGATTTCACATTTGTCAATACTACAAGTGTATGAACATGGCTGGCCAGCCTTCCTCTGACCTGAAACAGTAATCAGTCTGCTTGGAATGCCCTTATACAGGCAGATCTCCATCACAGAATGCAAAGCTGTGTGCCCGGCCTCCTCTGCACACTGTCAGAAGTTGCCACCTGTCCAAGATTCACCCGGACAGTGCTGTATGTGCTGTGTACCCAGACACAGGATGTCATGATGTGAAGTGGACAGGTGCAATAAGGGGGTCCTGGTGTTCCAACTTGAGTGCATGGAGGAGGCACAGGACATGGAAGGATGCTGGATCTCCGGGAGCAAAGAGGTGTCTGAACACAGGGTGCAGATGAGTCTTGAAGGGTACAGGGGTTGAGCGTCAGGCAGATGTGTTGTTTGAACACAGATTTACGTGTCACCTAGCGCCTGTTAGCTAACTGGCCGCATTAACTGGAAGTGCTGGTGGCTACTAACTGCAGAGAACCAGAACTGGATCAGGGAGGTGGTGAGTTTAACACCAGGGGGAGAGGAGGGGGGTCTGTGAACTCTATCAGTGATAATAAATATCTGGAAGTATTATACTTACACTTATTATCTTTAATGCCTGCAAAGTAAAAATATATCTCTCCTCTCTCTATCCCCTGGCTGTCACTCCTCTCTCTATCCCCTGGCTGTCTCTCCTCTCTCTCTCCCCTGGCTGTCACTCCTCTCTCTCCTCTGGCTGTCTCTCCTCTCTCTCTCCCCTGGCTGTCTCTCCTCTGTCTCTCCCCTGGCTGTCACTCCTCTCTCTCCTCTGGCTGTCTCTCCTCTCTCTCTCCCCTGGCTGTCTCTCCTCTCTCTCCTCTGGCTGTCTCTCCTCTCTCTCTCCTGACTGTCTCTCCTCTCTCTCTCCTGACTGTCTCTCCTCTCTCTCCCTCCTGACTGCCTCTCCTCTCTCTCTCTCTTTCTCCTGTATATTCTCCCCCCAAAAAATTGCTGTGTGGCTGTAGAGTGTTTGAGTTTCCCATGAAGAAAAGGTGGCATCCCTGACCCACCATGACTGCACAGGTTGACCGTTTGTGAACTGCTAAAATAGTGCAGCCTTAAAGTAGGGATTCCTTAGTTTCTTTGTTATTTTCTTGTATTCTCTCCTTGTCAGCTGTGAGGCCGTCCTATCTGAGTGGTACTAATAGGCTGTCATATAACAAAGGTCCTGTTTGGGATTAAATGAACAAAAACTAAAAACTTTCTTAATGGACAGTTTCACAGAATGTCAGTTAGCTCTAAGCTGAGGCAGGAGACAGCACAGCTTCTATGAGGGCCTTACAGACTGACACTGGGCTGATTGAGAGAGATGGGAATAACCGCAAACACACCAATTCCTGAGGATGAACTTTCATAAGGAATTTGATTATTACAAATGCCCTTTATGTCTCAAGGATCAGACAGATCTGAAACCAGACTGGTAGAAATCACAGAGGAGATTACACATGATCAAAAAAGGAAAATTTGGCTTTGCTTGGCTGGGACTTTGATGATGAACTGCTTGTTCTAGTACTACATACCTCATGCTACATACTTGGGCTGGCAGTGCACCACAATGGCATGATGGGACTTTTAGTGCTACAGCACCTAGAAAAGCACAGCCTGCACAAGGCTGCACTTTGGGAGGAGTGTAAGAGGATGTAAGTGGCTTATGCTCTATTGGGAGATAAGTGGCATAGTGTATGGGGTGGTCAGTCAATTGCAGTGCACAGGGAGGTAGGTGAGATCAACCTTGCACAATGCTGGTTGGTGTTACCTGTGAGAAATACGACAGAGCAGAAAAGAATTCAGGAGCGCCGCAGAGCCCAGCATGAAGAAGAATCTTTCCAGGTGACCATCTGATAAGGTTCCTGGGTACCAATCACCTGAGAACAAACACACCTATGTTAGGACACAGAAAGCCACTAATGTCAGTGTCTGCATTGGGTGGACCAGTGAGTAAGAGTACCCAGTTATGGATGGTGTCTTTGGAAGTCAGTAAACTCAATTTACAATGCCTAGATGGGAGAGATCAAAGAGTGGTATTGGAAGCAAACAGAGAGGTTTCCACTGCCGCGTTTCGCCACTCCCATTGAGGCTTAGTCATAGAGTCATCGGAAGTGCAGAAATAGCTTAAATACATTTACCTATATGATCCTGATATTTCTTTTTATGTTACATAATAAATACAATTAATAAAAACATGAGCCAAAAGCAAAAACTAAACTTACACATTTACCATAATTGGGAAGACCGTACTATATGACAACCAACGTAGAGTCAATAAAATTATATTGACTCATAGACAAACCGCGGTTCTGTAATGAACCCCATTATATTCAATCAAGGTCCTGGCATCCAATTTAAACAGTCCTGGTTTATTTAAATAAGATGCCAGGACCTTGAGAGAATATAATAGGGACCAATGGTATCATAAATACTGTACATATTGGATTGGTATTTGTAAATGTACCTAAGTATTCACTTAGCTGCCCTTCTGATGACTCTATGACAAATCCCCAGTAGCAGGGGCAAAATGCATCAGAGTAACCAGTAGCTGAAGCGCCCTTGCTACTCAGTGGCCTGTAGAGGGAGTCATCTGTTTTTAGAGGGCAGCAGAAAGTGAATGGTCTCTAGAGGGTGGTAAGGAGTCAGTGGCCTCAAGAAGGCAGAAAACAATTGAGTGATTACTAGAAGGGGGATCAGTGGCCTCAAGAGGGTGGCAGGGAGTAAGTGGCCTATAGATGGTGGTGGGGAGTCAATGGCACTTCTTTGGGTCTTTTTCAGTTACCTATCACCTAGTCACTTACCTCCAGATAATAGAAACGTGACTACAATTAGCATCGCCCCTATGAAGCAGCCAAGCGCCTGGAATAGAGTCATCACCGCCATGCAGATCCCACGGATACGGTTAGGTGCCAGCCCGAGGGTTATCGCGGAACCTGAACAGAGATTTTTAGGACTACGCTGATCACATGACCCATTACATTACACAAATATCTCATCTTCTATTCTGACACATAGCAGGTTTGTCTAATCACACATAACCACTAACACTTACAGGCCGGGACCACCAGGGCTTCCGCCAGTCCCAGCAGGACATACTGAGGGGCCAGATGTAGGCAAGACATGGACGACACCAGTAAGACTTTCCCTGACAACGTCTGCTCCACCATGGGGAACCACTTGCGATGGATCTCATAGATGCCAGCGACCAGCAACGACATGGCGGTTCCAATATGGCCACAAACTAGATGAAAGATAACATTGTAATTACAGCATAGAGATGATAAGAGGTGTCCACAGATTTCTACACTCTGGAAGGGATGTGATCAGTTGTGTTACTGCCAGTGGCTGGGGCCATCAGGACATCTCCCTGATGCCATGCGGGCCGCCTGGGTCGCTATGGCATCTTGCTCGGACAGCCAGGCTGCTGGCTGTCACTGGTGGCTGTGAGGAGGAACGCTTCGTTCCTTCTCACAGCCGCTGCTGAGTTGGTGACAACCAGCAGCTTCGCAGGAGGTGGCTGGGCCCGTCATCGGCAGTGATCGAGGAGGCGGGGCCCGGCGATC